GTCAAAGTGAGACACGTCAATTTTATTAATCCCTCCCAGGCCCCAGCCATCATCAAGTAGGCAGTAGCCGTAGCGGCAGCTGCCGTCAAACACGTATTTTGTCTATATATATTGTAAAGATTTTATTCATATAAAATTATAAATAATGAAATTTAATTTGCTTGATTACAAATTAATTGTGCTATTTTTATCAAATTTTCATATTACATTGTGAATCAAATGTTTCAATGGTTTAAACTCGAGGTCCAGTTTCTGGTTCAAGAGACTAAATATATTATAATAAAAAAAAATCAAAAGAAAAAAATTATATATTAATTAGTTAGGTGTTATATAGATAATTCCTCCAGTTTTTTTTTTTCCATTGCAAGAATCATAAATTGCGTTCATCTTCAACCTCCAAATATACAAAGGAATAAGAAAGATAAGGTCTAGTAAATACAATAACAATAATATATTCAGTATAATTTTATAAGTAGAGTTTGAAAAGGATTGAGTGTACATAAATTTTACTCCTACTTTGATAGGTAGAAAAGTTACATTGTTTGATTCCGATAAACCCTTGGCTCAAAAATAAATAAATAGCAGAAATAAAGAGATCATGTTGAGATACTATAGAGAACATATCAAAACATGTTGAAAACGAAACAATAATCGAAATTCAAGAAATAACGGGTAATTATAACATATATAAAAAATGAACTGCATGAGTAATATTATGACTACTTGCTCGTTTGAAAAGATAAGCGAGACAATGCTCTATTACCTACTAACCTCTCCCACCCTTATATATTCATGTCGACCTTCACAATCCTTTTATCTAAGGTCATGTCCTTAGTAAACTGAAATTGAATCATGTTTTGTCTAATATTCATCTCTTTCCAATAATTCTTTGGCCTACCTTTACCTCTCCTGAAACCATTCATAGCCAACCACTTACACGTATATACTAAAATTGATGCATCTATTCTTCACATGTCCGAACCATCTCAAATAATCCAAAGTACTATTTTGTTAATTGATGGAGCATCGATTATTACACTACTCGGATAATCTAATTGTGTTACTCCTAGTAGTATTTTATTTTTATATAGCTAAACACATCACATAGGAGATCACCCTAATACCCTCACATCCTTTTAATAATATATATTGAGCAAGGAATGTCGAAGTAACAACTTTAAATCAACCATTTATTAATTACTATTAACTACTAATAATAAATGTTTAACTAAAAAAATTAGATGAAAGGCGTTAAGTTCTAGTACAAATTACAATTGTATATTATTGCATGAAAAGTAATTATATTATTAAGTATTTTATGATAGTAATAGACTAGTAGTATTATATTATGTATTAGGCCATTAACGAACGTTTGTTTCTAATATTTTTTAATAATTTATTTTTCGTGACAAGTCTTGTTCTCTCACCCTTTAGGCTTATAGCATTTTGAGGATCTATTATATATTAAAATAAGTAAGTTCAACTTATAAATTCATTTGAATTATTCAATAATTCTGGCTTGTAAATTATTGAATAATTTACAATAAACAATAAACAAGTACAATAAACAATAATTAATTTTAAACACAATAAATTATTATAAAATTTCAGTTTCAAATTCATAAAATTCAAATTTTTAAGTCCACATTATTATCTTAGCCTCCACATGTTGTAGTGAAGAACACAGATAATTGCATGTCTCCATTGCAAAAACCATGAGCGGCTTTGGGGGAAGTCTTCTCAAGATCCAAGAGATCTATTTGCTTTTGGAACGAATTAATAATATAAATTTGATGAATTTAATATTTAAAATTTTATTATTTAATTATAAATTTAGATTTAATCTAAATATATTGTGTAGAAAGTTATGGATTCAAGTGAACCCGAAAGGCAACATTCGTTAGTTTCGTGCTTTGTTGTGCTTTTAAAGAACAGAAACTTAGAAAGTTTTTCCAACATTGTTATATTATAGTGATTTGATGATTAATGGAAAATTCAACTATGTGTTGTACCAACTGCCAACACAATTAGTGGGGTTACTACGTAACGTGAAATCTTAAATACTTTAATATGATATGATATATGGTACAGTAATTAATAATTAATTTAAGCCACTAGTTAACCTGCATGATTTGATCCTCTTCTACTTACATGAAGAGCACCGTTAGAAAAATTAAATTTCCTATATCCATAAAAATTTAACTAATTCATGAATGTTGTTGTTCGTCAAAAAGTATTCTCGAAGCTTTAATAATTTTGGCTCGTATCATATATATGTATATCGTATGTATGTATAATGTATTTAGTCATAGACGATCATAGGAGTATCTTTTTGTATACATATTTAATTTTTAACTAAAACTTCCAACCCTTTTATCTTGATGGACAGATTCGAATATAAACATATGTATATAATCTAGAAATGGTTAGTACAATTTTTTTGTCTTTAAGACTTGGGATTTGCTTCACTATTACATTCATATTTATAAGTCATCAGAGTTTCTAGGAATGAAAAATATTATGTTGAGAGAGTGTCGTGTGAAATTAAATTTAATAGGATTTAATCCAGATATCATAAATCATAAACTATATATAGAATATGAATCCAAAACTCAGCATACATTTCAGCATAATTATTTGAAAAAAGAATGAGTTATATCTTTTCAAGTGTAATTATAGTAAAAGGATTATCATAAGATCTTTCCAGAAAAGAACAATAAGTTGATCATAAACAAAATTGCAATTATTGGTCTCAAATCTCAATTTTGGGGTTAATATATGATCATCCTGCTCTTTCAGTTATAGTTAATTAAACTATAGGTCTACAATTCAAGGCTTGTCTAGTGCTTCAAGTTTTTAAAATTTAACGTTTAACTTATCGATTGTCGATAATTTTATTATTTGCTTAATTTCTGTCAACCTAATAAAATATTGATTCGTCAAGTTTTGATCAAATTATTGGTTTATCGTATATCCGATACAATTATTAAATATCCTACCATATTGGTAATTGGTACTTTTTCTTTGGGGGTGTGTGGGCCGTGGGCCGTGGGTGTGTGTGTGGGGGGGAGGGGAGGAGGAAGGACTCATCGCATGTTAATTTGTTATTTTAAAATAGTTATCTCAAATTATTTTTTAATTCTATCTTATATCCTTGATAATAATTGATCTTAGAAACTACAAACATCTTAATAAAATAATTACTTATGGATCGTTTCGTATGAAGATAGTTTATTCTAACATTAGTATTATGTACCAATAAGTAATATTGAGACTTGTTATGCTGAAATTAGTTATTTTGAGTTATTTGTTTATAAAAATATTCTCCACCTCATTTAATAGAAAAAACATTTGAAGAACCTTTTTGTTTCTTTTGTCATTTTCATTATTTATTTTTGAGATAATTAATTCTAGCACTATTATTCTACCTCCTAACATTAATACCATTATTAGTAACCAAGCAAAGGATGAAACGAACAAGACTTACCTGAAGTGTCTAAATGAAAATTGGTGTCAGCTTTAAGTGGTCATTGATAGATTCCGCCTAAAAGTTTATCTCATAACAATTTATACTTATCCATTATATTAAACACTCTCTTAACAAAAATGTTTTTTTTTTCCAAAAGATATTGATGAGGATAAAATAATTTAAATTGTATTTTAATTAATTTTCATTTGAAAACGTAAAGAATTTGAGACGGGGTAAAAACAAACTAAGTTTTTCTCATGGCCAATTCCAAACATGGGGGCGCCACAAAAAGTCGAAACGACGCCGTGGGAAGTCGCTCCAACCCCAGCGGTTTACCGTTAAATTCAAGTCCGCTGAAGCAATGTGAAACGTGGCAGTCGTCCTCTTACTGAAAAAAAAACAATCTCTCTCTCACAATTAACTAAAAATATTGCAATCCTTTTTTCCTCTTTTGGAGTTTGTGAAATTTTGATTCGGAATGTGAAATTGAAGGAAAAATTAGTAGACTTCTTAACCTGAAGGCAAGTTTTTTTTTTTTTTTTTGGTTTCATTCAGTGTTGAATTTTCTGTTATTTTGCTAATGATTTTTGCTGCTTTCGTAGTTGGTTAATAAACCATTGTTTCATCTTGTTGAATCAAATATTGTTCTTTGTTTATTTTAAGTTTTTCTACTTTACTGGGTTTGGTAGATGGTCAATACGTGGATCATGAGTGAGAATAATTTGCCTTTTGTTTTTTAGAACTTCGATATATGTGCTTACCTTCCACGTCTACTTGTCACCTCTCGCTAGCACATGTACCATTGATCAGAGTCCCTAGTGTTTTTTTTTGTTGAAACATAAACCTGTAGAAACCTCGTGATCTTCAATCACTTCATTGACCAACTTGGGTGCAATTTACTTTTTTTTTCTTTTTGCTGAATTAATTCAACGATTAAGTATTTTAATTTTACTTTCACCGTTTAGTTCAACACTAAAAAAGAGTTCTTTGATTTTTGGTTGAGAGTTTTGGTCCATTCTTTTGTTTATGTGGTAATTAAGATTAACATTGTTTGATTCGATGCGTGTTGATATATTTACGTTGGATCCTAATGCATAATGGACAAAGCAATAGCACAAGTGGCTTTTTCCTTTTAATCTCCTTATTACGAGTTTTGTAGATTTTGTTGCATTAAGACTTTATATATGTATCTGTTGACTATAGTTGCACTGCTATAGTATCAGTTCCTGAGAAGCTGTCTGGTTGGTCCTTGAGATACCAATATGTTTAAGAATTTAAACGATCAAATGTGGTTAAAGATTGGCTCTTGGCATATATAATATGGAATCTTCACACAAATAGCCGGACAGTTTTATTGTTTACTTTTTATAGCCGGTATACATAGCTTATATACAATTATCCACATATTATACCTCTGCTGGCTATTCTTAGTTTAATCAGTTTATCCATTTGGCTATTTCCTTATAGATTGGCAGTCTCCGGTATCAAGGTGGCAGAGTGAACAAGATAGGGTGAGCATCTGGGCATCCACTTCCTTGCAAATGTGGCGAAATCTTGAGGGTGAGCATGGGGTGAATAATTCCCGTGCTCGTTGTGGAGAAAGGAAAATACAACAGAGGACTGACATTGAAAACTCAAACAGTACAGGCCCCTTTTTATTGTATGATCAGGGAATTGTTATGGGAAATGCTAGCTTTGAAGGTGCCAATGAGGCTTGTAATGGACGTGTGGCGTCTCAAAGCCAGACTGTGTTGGAAACTGAATCGGAGGATAACCGTAGTATTCTCTCAGATCAATCTAGTGATCTTGGGGAAATTGAACGTGAGAGGGTGAGGCAGGTTTTTCAGGACTGGATGAGCACTGGTGTGAAGGACCATTCTCAATCATTGAGTGTCTCACATAAGAACAACTGCTTGGGGGCACCATGGTTAGGGGAAAATGAACGAGAAAGGGTGAGAATCATAAGAGAGTGGGTGAAAATCAACATTCAGCAAAGTGGCGCGGGTTCTCCAAGAGATGAAGGCGCTGCTGATACCGGTTCTCAATTCGAACAAGTGCGTGATGGATCTTTGGTCAATCATTCTGAAAATGGAGAGAGAAAATCCGTGCGTATGTATTGCGGCAGAAAAGCCCTTCTTGATTTGCTGATGAAGTTTCAAATGGAAAGGCAAAGAGAAATTCAGGGCTTATTGGAAAGTAAACCTGTATCAAACTTCACATACCGCAATCGGATTCAGGTAAGACTTGAGTAGAGAATGCTTTTCATGAATGTGCATTTTTAATCTTTTAGTCTATTCTTGTTATATTATTATGTCTGCAGATTTTCTGTTGGATTCATAAAGAGAAAGTTATTGAGTGGATTATAATATAAACATGTAGAATATTAATTTAGTAGTCGGTGAGCTTGGTTCGTGAAAATTTAATTAATTAAGGATTATAATATAAACATACAGGATACTATTAATTAATTGAGTGGAGTGAATATGAATAACAAGAACATCTGATTGGATTGGATATGATTTGATGTGTGATAGTTTGCATTATGTTGATTGATCTACTTTTCATTGAAATTTGTTTGCAACATATGGCTTTTCCTGATAGTGTTTCAAACCTTCTCATAGTCATTGCTCAAGGGTAGATTTCTGCGGAACGAGAGATTGATGACCAGTGATGAAAGAACTACATCAGACGCTGCAAGTGAATTGGGCATACTGAGACAAAGTCATACTGTATCTTATTTAAGGTAGAGCAAAGTATTTTTCTTTGGAATGTTAGCCTTTTTGATAAACCCATGCATGGATTACCTGCTTCAAATGCAGTAACTCACTTGATTTCTCTCTTTTGCTTTATCGAAATTAATGGCTCTCGCCTTAGTCTACCAATCTTTGTTAGAAGCTGCTTGGTTGTGCTTTTCTTTTGTTACTTTTTTAGTAATTAAGTGGACACAGAAATCTAGCAAATAAATTCTTCTGTCCAAAAGTCATAGGTTATATCTTAAAATTCTGTGTGAAACAGGAAAGAGATTTTATCCAGATTGGTCGATAATGCTCGTAATTCTACAAAAGATGTGCAGCTGAATGCCTCTTCTACAGATGACCTGAATCGTCATCATCGAAGTGAACAGTCTCAATCAAATAATGAACAAGAGATAATTGATGAATCCTATGATCAATCTGAACTCGATAGTGAAGAGAGGGAAACTGATGGATCTCATGTAGTCGGGAACTCAGAAAGCATTACATCTGAGGAAGTAAACCAGCAAAATTCGGTTGATCAAATAGCTGAACATTCAAATCAAATAGCAGCTGTTGAAAGTGGTTCTCGAGGGCATGTACGAGAAGACCATGAACCCTTTCATGATAATGATGCACCAAGAAGTGAGGCAAGTGATACTCATGAAGTATATGATCATTCTCATGGCTTGATAAGTAGTACTTTTGAGGACTATGTGTGGCAAGTTTTATCATCTCAGGCAGAGGATCCACAGGACGTTGTCACGGATCATGAGGAAGGAAACTTGCGACAATCAGAAGCGCCATATGAACTAGTTATCGAACATGGCGAAAGTAAGCAAATGTCTTCTTCTGAACACAATGAAACGACAAACAATACTACAGAAGACATGAGCGGAAGTTGGCAGGAAGATTCTGCAAACCATTGGTATCCAGACAGTTCGGAAAATGATACTGAAGAACAAATTTATGAGCAAGAACATGAGCACTGGCAGAGTAATGATTGGCTGGATATGCCTTCTAGTCAGAATGCTGGATCCATGGGAAGGGTTGATTCATTTTACATGCCTGATGATGATAGTGTTTACAATATTGAACTTCGAGAACTTCTTAGCAGGTAAAGGACTCTTGTTACCGCTGGATTATTCATTTTCTACGAAAAATTGATGCTTAAGCTATTTAACTGGTTCCTTAATGCTGTAGGAGGCGTGTCTCTAATCTGCTTCAAAGTGGTTTCCGTGAGAGTCTTGACCAGTTAATACAATCTTACGTTGAAAGGCAAGGTCACGCTTCTGAATGGTATATGGATGGAACATCATCATCCCCTGATGATACGGACCACGAGCTGCTTCAAGAATATGACAATCAAGATGGGCCTCAGATAAATAGTGAATCTAATCCCTTTGCCATGACTTCACTACATGTGGAACCTTCTCTGCAATTGATAGGAACAGTAAGCTCACCTTTATATTCCTTGACAATTCTACTTGAATTTAATTAGAGAAGTTGATTTATGTAGCTTTCTCCGTCCCAATTTAAGTGTCTTACTTTCTTTTTTAGTCTGTTTCAAAAAAGAGTGCCTCTTCCTACATTTACTAAGTTTTCCAATTCCAACACCTGAACACCATACATGGCAAGTTTAAGACCACAAGATTTAAAGGACTCCATACTCGTTTGACCTACTGCAGGATTGGGAAATCATACATGAGTTGAGGAATGACATGGTTAGGCTTCAGCAGAGGATGAACAATATGCAGAAGATGTTCGAAAAGTGTATGGAAATGCAAGTTGAGCTCCAACGCACGGTTCATCAAAATGTTTCTGCAGCCTTAAATCGATATGCTTGTTCAACAGGTTAGATTTCACATCTAAAATTAGGTTCTTGTATCCATATTATAGTTACACTTCTCCTGAAACGGAGATGAATTTAGAACAATTCATTTTGTTTCGTTCTATTGATCAGATATTGATGCATGTGAGGACAGTGTGCAATCCAAATGGGATAATGTGAGAAAAGGGATTTGTTGCTTGTGTTCTAATAGCAGCATAGATGCCTTACTGTATAGGTAAACTATATATATATGAACATCCTTGTCCATTCATTTCTCGAGATTCTATTTTTGAGCAGTCTTAGAGACTCCTCTTCCTTCCTTTTTTCTGGTTTTTTTTGGATGTTTGAATTCGTAAGCTCAAGGGAATTATTCATTCGAAATTGATGCAGGTGTGGACACATGTGCACATGTTTAAAATGTGCAGAAAAGTTGATCCAGCGGAACGGAAAATGTCCAATGTGCCGGGCACCAGTAATTGAGGCGATCCGAGCTTTTTCTATACTGTAATGTTGATGCAGGGGGGGTATGTGCACATGCTCAAATTTCCAGTAAAATTGGTCCGGTGACGAGAAAAACGTCCAAAATTACCCGCGGGTAACGTCAAATAATAAGTGATCCGAGCTTTTTCTGTACATAACTGGTAGAAAACTAAACAATACCTGTGAAGCAGAGTGCATCCGTTGCTGCTTTAGCTTGTCTGGGTAAGTCGTCTTTCCTCTGTGACAATCCTTTTTGTGTTTTTTATGATTAATTTGTCTTTCATATTTTCATTAACATTGAACTTAATTTGCAGATATCATGTTTGTAAAACCAATATTATAGGTGAAATCTTTTTGACCAAAATTTTCATCTATATCCACTACGTTCCCTTGATGTAGTGCATATATTCAGTGTGCTGTGGATAGACTTATTGAAGCTTTGTACAAAGAAGGAGATCATATAGAAGTGCAGGTCATTTTATCAACGACGTTTCTAACCATGCGTCAGCTGTACATCAGAGATTTCTCGATTATAAAAAATGATTTCCCTTCTCACCATATGTAAATTATGATTTAAGTGATGGAATAGACTCATCTGTTTAGATGGATTTACTTAAAATTCCAACTTTGTACAATGTGAAATGTGTTGCAAGGTAATCTATTTTTCTTCCTCTTATAACCTTTACATGTTATTCGTCGGCAAGTATAGGAAACATTGTTTGTTAATTATTAGTTCCAACGTGTTCTACTTATCATCAGTAGAATTAAGCTCTACTTGTGGTGTATGCAATTTAAATTTATTCGGGGCTTCGGAAAACCAAGGAAAGAAAAGGCTCATTTGTCGTGGAAGCGGAAGAACTGCTGAAACTATTACAAAAAAGAGCCCGATATTTGCATGCAGTGATTTTCCCAAATCAAGGACCTAGCTAGGAAAGGATAGTGTAAACCAAAATGAAATAAAAATATTCACAAGAGCTACCTAACTAACTAACTAACAATTACGGCTTCGACTTCGACGTTTCAACACTAGTCACATAGTTAGCAACAGCTTTGGTCCCTTCAGCAATTGCATGCTTCCCCAGCTCCCCAGGCAGCACCAATTTCACCGCATCCTGAATATCCACCGACGTCAACGTGGCACGTCCCACGTACTTCGTGAGGATCGCCGCTTCATTGGCGATCCTCTCGAACATATCACCCATCAAATTATTCAATATCATCATAGCCTTTGATGAAATTCCCATATCTGGATGAACTTGCTTCATCACTCTAAACACATACCTTCTATACCCTTCACTGGGTCCCACTCCCCCACCCACTTTCGCCCTCTTCTTTTTCCTCTCACCTCCTCCTTTTGCTTTCTGGGCCGGGTCGGGTTTCCTCTTCTGGGCCTTCTTTTGATCCGCTTCCATTTTCGGAGGCGTAGGCATCTCTTCTGGTTGAGTTTCATCTTCATCTACTCGTTGGGCCGGGTCGGGTTTCCTCTTCTGGGCCTTCTTTCGAACCGCTTCCTTTTTCGGAGGTGATGGCATCTCTTCTGGCTCATCAGCTGGTTGCGTTTCATCTTCATCTACTTGTTGGGCCGAGTCGGGTTTTCTTTGTTGGGCCTTTTTTCCTTCGGATTTGTCTTGAACATTAATGGTTCTTTTAGGCATAGGTTCTTCATAAGGAGGTGGAGTAAGTATTTCGAATGATTGATTTTCTTCAGTCAAAGTTTGACTTTCGGTCTCCGTTTCGCCGGAGACGACGACGGAGACGGTTTCTTCCACCACTTTCCGGGCGGTGACCACCGTGGCACGGGCCCTTCCTCCACGCTTCTTCGGCGCCATTTTCGAATTATTATTTTTTTCTCGTTTTTTCCCTCTCTTTTTTGGAGTGTGCTTTAAAAAATGTACGGTGGAGTAGTATATGAAGAGGGGAATTTTCAGCTTTTTCACTGTTGAGAGGTTTCTAAGAGAGTGACACGTGGAGTACATGTGTTGAAATAGTGGAGGTTACAAGATACGTGGGTAAAAATGAAGAGTAAAGAAGATTCCAGCTTTCTTATCAATTTTCATTGTTTCTGTTTTAAAAGCAGCTAATTTATATGTTGGAATTAACTTTGTGTGCTATAATACTTTGTTGGAATACTTTTTAAAATTAATGCAAATAGTAGTTATATACCATCTATTTGCTATTAACTTATATATATCTAATATACAGTATTGTATAATTCGCAATGTAAGAGGTTTTAGTTCCTTCATTAGCATGATTTAAGCACAATCATCTCTCAAAATCTTTTTTACATCATTTTAATTATATTTAATTATTTATGAAGGATATTTTTATAAATAAATATTTTTAAAAATATCTTATTTCATATATGTTAATTTTAATATACTTAATTAAACACTTTATAAGAAATAATATCGACATAAATAATGCAAAAATAATTACTAACAATATTACAAATATTAGTATTACTAACATATGATATTCAATATCATTTTTATTTATCAATCACACGATTCAATCTTGAAAATGACGTTCATTTGCGATAATTTGTAGTAGCGTATAGCGATGGAGCTAATTCTCACGTTGTTTATGATAGTGTCACATCCCTTTGGTCCACTGAGAAGTAGTTAGGGATTGTGACAATTAATTGGATAACCATGTGGAGTATTGTTCCTAAGGAAATAATTGAATTTTGTTGAAAGCTTTCCTCGGATGATGTAAAAAGACAACAAAATCATTAGTTTCCTGTATTTTTACACCAAGATTTAAGAATGTGGATTTTTATTGGAAAAGTTGTTGGGTATCTAATTCATTGTTTACCTAATGTTATATCTCAGACTTCATAAATTTATTTTTATAATCTTTTGATCAGTCAGCTTTTATAGTAATTTTCTTTAATAACAGATTTAAGCTTATCTAATTTATTGTTCATCACCAATGTTAGGCTCTCGTATAATAATGCACAGTTGCACACGATCAAGATATCCAATGATGGGTGAGGAAGGAGGTGTTGGAATTCCATATCGATGGATTTACATGCACTTCAACTTTTTATATGTTTTTGTACAATTCTTCACTTAATGAGTTAGCTTTTAAAGTTGAGTTTAGTTTGATTTCATTGATTCAATGAATCTATCTATGGTTACCTGGTTTAGGATAATGAACACTATCGGACCATACTACCACTAGAATATGTGCATAGTGCACACACACAAATGTATTGAGCCATAACGGTGACAGTTGACACCATTGTTAAGTATACAGAATGGACATTATTCATCCCATACAATACAATACAGTCAACAACTCTTGTCTATCTTTTCCAAATTAGTTCAGTCGCAGTTGGAGTACTATTTTCATTTTCCTTTAGTTGGTTTCTTATAATTCAATTCACTGCAATATATTCGTGAATCCAATGACTTATCTATCCAAAAAATAATAACTATAGAAAACGTTGGCTTTTCTTTTATTTTTTATTTTTTTATGTATATATAGTAAGTGTTGAATTCTTTTAGTTTTTATACGTGTATTTACTCTTTTTATATCTTCTTAATGAAAATTTTGACTCTGTCACTGAAAGATATACAGTATATACATGTATTAATTACTTAGATGTGTTGAGGGTGACTTTCATTTGTAACCATATTAATTAATAGTGATGTGCAACATCTAAGGCATACGATAAAATTGTACTAAGGAGTCATAACTCACATGGTCGATTCTATATGATTGTCTACGCTTTAAATACTCACGTTGCTTATCATATATTTGTCACATCCTTAATTGGTCCACAGAAAAGTTGTTAGGGGTTGAGTCTTGAGACATTTTGACATGTCCTTTGTTAATTTTCTAAAGAAAGATTTCCTAAATTAAATAATTTTAAGTCTCGAACAGTACTATAAATATATATATTCTCTCTTCTATGCTTTCAAATGTTATAAAAAACAAAAGAAAAATATTAATTTTACAGTACTATTGTAGGTCAGCCAAAATGAATGGGTCTACTACATATAAATATTTTGCCTCGTTGAGTCTATTTTGCTACCTGGATGATAATGAACCTATAACGGAGTATATGGACAAAACCCAAACAACACTTATTGGGCAAAATAGTACTATAGTCAATAACTCTAGTCATTTGCATTTTTGTGCGAACATATATTGTGTCGGTGTTCATACAAATTAAATTTAATTCAATTTATCATAGTTAGTTAGTTAATATGTTGGTCAATCATATTCTCAAAGACGGAAAAAGTCATTGTTAAGAATTTCAATGGAAGTGTACGTTGTTAGCTATGAACCAATATAGATAGTTCTTTCAAATTAATTTATCAATACAAATCGTTTGAAAATTATTGAAAATCATTATTTGATGATTTGATTTGTCAAAAACGGAGTAACTTAGGGTGTGTTTAATAGAAATGAAAATGTTTTCTTAAATAAATATGTATTTCAGAATGGATGTGTTGGAGAGTGGAAAGAAGAAACATAGTATAGAATTAAACTTAAATTCATTACTTTTTAAGCAATTTTTTTTTTTCATTTCTTAAAAACTTGTTTTCTAGTTCTTCAAGAAAATTAAATAATCAAACATGAAAAGATTTATAAACATATTATTGGAAAACTTTTCCCTCCATACCAAACAAAACCTAGCGCATTCAAAAAATTCGTCGACAATAATTGCCATTGATACTCATTCCTAAGTATTTATTTACTTGTCATAATTACTATAAATATGTAATTGAAAATAATATTTGTCATTCTATTTTGAAAAATTAAGAGAGAATTAATCTTTTTTTTTCCTATTTGTACTCTTTCTTTAACAAATATACAAAGATTATAAATCTGGTGAAGGAAAAAAAAAAAGTAAGAAATAATGAGAGCAATTATTTTTTTTAATAATGATTAATATTTTCTTGAAGGACACTATTGAAATTAAATGACTGTAAGACATTTTTCTCCTTACCGTCAAGTGGCTGAACACCCGTGAAAACAATACTTATTATTAAAACTTCAATCTATTTTATATTGACAAGAGGTTAAATCTCAGGAGATACACATGATTTATGAGCATTATTTTATATTGACAAGAGGTTAAATCTCAGGAGATTCACATGATTTATGAGCATTTCCAATCAATCAAAACTACAAGCCCAGTTATTAATTAACCAATGGTGAAAACTCAAAAAAAAAAAAAAAATCTCAATAAAATCTTAAAGTCGCGCAATAGTTAATTCAGAATAAAAGGAATAAAAACATTTTTCGCAAAACTTATTCATAGTAAAAGGAAACATATAATGCAACACTTTTTATACACATCAACTATGGTACTATACCATAATTTCCACACATCATTTTATTTCATCACCTAGCTATATATAATATAGAATCTATTCTATAAAAAAACAGAGAATATAAATATAACGTGAATAAGGAACTTATTAACCCTAAAAAATCAAGGGCTATAATATGTCTTATAATTCACATGAAATTAATTAACTAATACTTTGGATATAATAAAACTATATTAATTCATGAGAAGTCTTTTCTTAACGGCCATACCTCGAGAAATTTCATTACATGATATGAAGAACTTCTCCAACTCTTCATTTCCACCAACTTCAAAAAATTCGAACTGTGAAAACTTCCTCTTACTAAGCAACAATTCCCTCGGTTTTTTCGGAGCCGGGGGAGGACAGCTTCCGACTATCGGAATCTTGTTTTTCCGACAAGTTGGTGTTCGACACAAATCTTCACCAATATTATGCCTAGAAGTACTACTACTATTATTTTTGTTTAATATTAATATTTCTTCTTCATGATGTCCTTTGGGGAAAACTTGGTTTAAAATTTGAGGATCTGACATGAAGTTTAATAAGGGATTTTTTTATTTTTTTTGGTAATGGAATATTGGTAGATGAAATGAAATATGATAAAAGTAGCTAGGTTGAAAATAGATGGAGATGGAAAGAGGTTTGGGTGGGTGGGTGGGGGGTGGTGGTGGTTAGGGAGGGTTGGTTCAATTTTTTGTCCTGTTATTTTATTTCTTATCTTGTTAAAGGAAATTACGTCTTCTCGTTTCTAAATAATATTCGTTATGTAGTCTGTTTCATCAATAATGTCCATTTTCTGTTATATTCACAGCACTTTCACCTTAAAATATGACAGCCAGTATTATTATCTTTACTGAAAAAAGTTTTAAATACCTTTAAATAAGTTGAAATTAAATAAAAAAAAGTCTTTCATAAATAGTTTGATCTAATCTCTATTGTCAATATTTTCATCCAGAAATGTCCTTATTAGACCAAACTATTAAAGGATGGTATTTGTCCAAAATATTAATACAAAAATATTTTCAGACGAAACTATTAACGATTTTTTTTGGGTTCATAATCATTCCATATAGTCTAAAAACATTCTTCATCCTTTTCTATTATTTTTATCTATCCATTTGATATTAGAAATTTTCCGAATAGCGTGGCCCGTGGATAGTATTTCTTTTTCCCAACCCTTAATCCATACAATTAAAAAAAATTACGTGACTAATCTAGATCTGCATTGAGGAGTCAATTAAAAGTGGTGGAATGCTATTTACAGAAGAAAAAAAAAAGTCTTCATTTTTATAGCTTATACTTAGTTAAATTGTATTATACTATATATCTAAAAATAAACGAGTACTATACGTTTAATTTGTAACGACACAGTAGCATTAAATTATTTAACTTTTGACCATGGGAGATATACATTTGCACAACATTAAATTAGTTTGGCTGAAAGTAATACTTGACTTTTGTAAATATAGAACAGACTAGGACAAAAAACTTAACATTTGAAAAAT